GCCGGCATTTGGCCCGAATGTTGCTATACTATGCCTCTTGGATTGCTGTGTAGCAGTATTTGGACCCGACAGTTTAGCCATGTCGATAGATGGAACAGGTGGAACATCGAAATTGTGTGGGCGATGCCTCATTGCCCTGGCCTCGCCCGCTTCCACCTTCAAGCTGTGGAAGCTTTTGCGCCGCTGCTGCTGCGGCAGCACCTCTCTGGAAGCAGCAAGATCCCTGCTGTGGGCGCGAGCGAACGCAGCAGCAGCCTTGCTGTCCATGTTGACCATTGACTTTGATCGCGGAACTGTGGCGCCAAGTCGATGTGGAGAGGCTGCAGAAGCCGTAGTCTGCCTTGGGAGATCTGGTGTCACAGCAGCATATGGGGAAGTGCCAATCGAGGCGGCAATGTGTTCCAGATAACCAGCTTCAATCGCAATATCCGCAGCTGCCTTCTCAGCCTCTCTGTTGTCACCCATCGACTTTCTTCGGAAGAAAGAGAAGCTCCTTCGGTGGCTGCTTGCAGACGGCGTCGGTGGCGGTGCAACCTGCAGCTCAACAAGCTGTTGAAACTCGGTGTGACCTGGCAGTGGGGCATGGGGCTTGGACTCTTCGGCAACGACATGGTCCTTTGAAGGATACGTCTGCGTCAAGCAGTCCATGCCAGGGGTGTTTGTCACGCGTCTTTCGAACTGGGCTCGCACGTCCGCCGGAACATCGGGAATCTTTCCTTCTGGAATCGGCTGGCACGACTGGACAATGAGAGCTTCTCCCTGCGACGGCCGTCGACGATGAAGACGCTTCGGGGGCTTCCCGGGCCCACTGTCGAATGATGTTTTCGATGAGACTGATCTAGGTGTACGGGGCGAGAGCAAACCATCCGAAGTAGATGACCTCGCTGAAGAGCTTGCAGAATTCACAGACACTTGTAAAGACGACTTTGATCGCAGTGTTCGCGACGACTGTACCGTTACCAGAGCTCCTGGGCCGCGAATACCACGTACAGCACGTGCTGCAGATACAGACGATCCGGAAATGTTCATATTCTCTTTGTTCTGCTTGGGAAAACCTGGCTGCATGCCTTCCTTTCCCTGACTTGCGCCGTGTGGAGGCTGCGAACTATGACATTGACACTGAGAACAAATCGTGTAAGTAGAACCTGCCTGTTGTTCGCGTTCATCTATGGGCAAACTACCACCAGATGAATAGCCGGAATCAGTTGTGCGTGGAGGAGGTCGTTGCTTGGTCCGGTTCTTTGGCTTCTTGTGTACTGAAGTGCTTTGTCCAGGAAGCGCCAAATCCCTTGCAGCAGTCTGTGGCGTGGCCTTTCCTGAAGCCAGATCTTGGGATCTACAAGTGTCTTCTGACTTGGGGTAGTGTGTGTCATCAGAAGTGAATCCCTCGTCCTTGTTGACTGTGCGGTCCTCTTCTGAAACCGGAGATGGGCTGGGGGCAAGGTGCACCTGTGAGATCTGGACGGAATGCGCCACATCAACTGGACTGTTGTCTACGACCTCCAGACTGTCGTGTGACTGATTGGGTGATTCAGTCTGGACAGATCCATCTGCGGACCGAACAAGCTTGACTGTAGTAGCACTCCGAGCAGTCTCATACGGTAGTGGCGCTTCCATAGTTTCCACGATCTGAAGAGAAGAAGTCGCAGGCAGTCCAGCGGACTGACTTCTTACATGGCCGCGACGCCGTGTCGATTTCATCATCAACGGGCTGGAACCGGGCTCCGTTTCTGAAAAGTAATCCTCATCCTCACCATGAGGGCGAATTGAAGCCCTGATGCTTGATGCCGGTGAAGCAGGCCCGTTTGTGATTACCAGTGTGCCAGGCTTTAGGCTCCCCAGCTGCGAATAGTCCAGGTCGCATGGAGTTGATACTCGAGGCCTTGGATCAGCTTGAGCAATGTTAGTTGATGACTTGGCCATTGTAAGATCTAGGCGCGAAGTAGCATGTGGGCTAGGTTTCGACTTGATCTCGTCATCATACTCAAGCCTTGCAGACCTCCATGAGTTCCACGTCCTACGACGCGCCTCGACTGGAGAGCCCCGAGTGCCAACTCCGGGCGTTTGAAGTAGCGACTGACGGCGCGTGAGCGATGTGGAAGAAGATTTGTCCACGGCTGACATTCTTCGGCTGCTACTTGGTTCGCCTACTGGCTCATCATTCTCTTCGGGCATTTCCAAGACTTGCTGCAGAGCCGCAATGTCTTCGGGAGACCCATTTTTCTTGACTTGTTGCAGCAGCTTTATAGCTTCGGCAATATCGACGTGTGAGCCTGAAACGAGGGATAGCTTGGAGTCGGTTATGCCTGCAAGCCTGGCTGCTGAACCATGCTTGCTCCCGAAGCAGGATAGCGAGTTGGAGCGTGAATTGGACCTTGAGTTTGACCTTGAATTCGTCCTCGAGGCCATGGACAGAGGGCTGTCGCGTACCTTTGCCGTGTCGACTGCGCTGTCCCTGGTTTGCGACAGGATGTCGTGATCAAACTCGCCAGTCGTGGGCGAGAGGAGAGCGTCCCTGATCTGCTGCCGTCCTTCTGGACTGAGATCGGCAGGGCCCGAGAAGGAGCATTCTGGCGAGTCGCTCTTGTAAGCTGTGTTGACGGAGTTTGTGTTGGTCTTTGGCTTGGAGAGCTTGTTTGCATTTGGCGTGCTGGACTGGTTGCCCATGGTGGTGCCGGGCTGTAGCGAGCGTGTGGAGAGCGGGGAGCGCTCAGGCAGACAGAATAAGATGCATTTGGGAGATCAAGATTGACAGCTGGTGAGCGAGTCAATCGCTGCTCAAGCCGATGCGGGGCTTTGGGGGAAGAGGGCGGCGTACGCTTATAAGGCCTGGCACAGAGCGGCGTTATCAAAGTGGAGGCTGGTATGCGCGCACCAACAAGCGGTTTGGCGGTACACTAAGAAGGACGAAGCGTCTTATTGAAGAAGAAGAAAAGGTGAAGGTCCCCGCACGAACGGGCGACTAGCGATGGTCCAAAGCGTCGGTGACAGGTATCAAGGATGGTGGCCTAGGCCGATGTACCCACCGCGCGTGTTGCAGGCGCGGTGGGTGCGTGTTGCAACCGACAACAAACCTGGAAGAGACGTGAGCTGAAACCTGGACGTTGCGGCTGCAGCGAAGGTTGAATGAAACGACCAATTATCCCCATGTCTCCATCCATAGCGCCCGCGGCCAATGAGCGCGTGGGGGGCGTTATAGGCTACGGGCCAGCAGCACTGCGTTCCAACTGTGCCTTGCCGCATCCGTCATGGCCAACGGCTGATCGGAGCGATCCCGTCGTCGTCGTCCATGGCAAACTGCTCCAAAAACCGGCATTCCTGTCTCTGTGTCCTTGGCCCAAATCCACCCGGAGAACAGCTCCCCAACCAGCCCGCTGTGGCCGTGCCGATATACGCGCTGCCTGCTATATAGCCTGGCGGTGCGGCCCTCTCCACCACTGTGGCTTGCCCCCCTCCGTCATCTCGTCAGTCCTTTCATTCACCCTGTGGCGCAGGCAAACACCTCGCTCCATGTCTCCTGTCTCTGCCTCACCTACACTGTATAGTTTGCATCCAATTTCGTAGCCAATGACCCGAAACCTCCAGCTCCCTGCTAATGTGTTTTCTGACGTCCGCTCGCTTCTCCGCATCACACTCTAAGCGTGGTTCGCTGCCCTTTGCAACACGCGCGTCGGCTTCGTTAGTCGCTTCTCAACGTCCTTTTTCAATACCTGACCTGCAGCAACAGGCAACTCGTCTGCGCCGCTTTTGGCTCTTGATCGGCTAGTTTGCGCGCAATATGCCCCCTCTTCTCTTCGCTCATCTGGTTGCCGACCCTGCATTCACCTTGCAGAGTGGTTCATTTGGTAGTACCAAAGGTGCAAACAAGCAGTCGGCCTAACCAATGCACGCGCATGCACGCCTCTGCGATGCGAACAGTGCGGCAAGACAGATCCAAATCCTGCGAGCCCAGCCTCATATCGGAGAAGACGTCAGTCCGGATGCCGGGCTAGGGGAAAATAATAATCATAAAAAAGCCTCGCCCGTCGTCTGGCCTCGCCCATGGCCTCCCCCCCCCCCTTGTCCTTTCGGCCCCAAGGTGGTTTGAATCAGGGTTCCACGAGTCTCCCAGGGGACAAGGTGGCTCCACGTCATACGGCCGCTGCCTCGAGCCAAGCGTAAAAAAAAATCCGGTAAGGGATGAGATGAGTATGAGTGAGTATAGTATACTACATGCCTTGTAGTTGTACTAATACTCTGTATCCGTGGGGCTGTCGACTTGTCGAGCTTTACGGACCGGACGATCACGGACAAAGTGCAGCACCTGGTCGAGACCCAAATACTATACATACATATACGATTTGTCTGGGCAACACACCACGCGCTTCAGGCTTTCAAATCCTACCTTGACGCCTATCACCGACGATCGACAAGACCTGCCGTAGCGTGCCGTAGCAAAAAAGTCGGCGTCGCGACTAGGTGTACATGCACACGCGCGCATCCTCTTTAATTCCCTAGGCAATCCTGTGTCTAGTGTAGTACAGTACCTGTCTATGTACTAGATACAAACACGCACGTGCTTACAAACATACGTGCTTACTTTACATACAGCACGCACTTTGCTCGTATGCCCGAGGAGTGGCTTAGTTGTCCCGCTGCCTCTACGCAATACGCAATCGGAAGGGCTCGGCCGCTCTGGTGACGTGACGTTGTCGCGGACACTGGCGGCATCTTACCAAACCTGGCTAAGCAGCCGCGCCAATGGTCATGCCTGACATCATAGCCACCGCTGGGCAACATCACCACCAGCCCTGCGTCCGAATCTTCGTGCGGTCTGCTGTGGAGACATCTTGTGCTTTTACGTCCTTGGCCTTGTACATTAATCCTTCGTTGGTTCCCTGTTGCTGATCCTTGTGTTCCGTCCTTTCCTACCTCCACTTCCTTCCTTCTTACCCACCACCCAAATCTCTCAACCCCGGATAAAACCACTTCCTTGCCTCAGGGCCGGCCATTATAGAAAAATGCTCGGGCTTTCTTATTGGATCGTACCCATCTTCTCCGCGGTAGTATGGACTGGCATGCTCATCGCCATGATGGTCTATTGGGCCTCCACTGGCAAGCCCATATACTCAACGATGAGCCAAGGGCAGCACATCCCATACATCTCTGGTAAACTACCCTCTTTATATGCTAAAAAAAATTGTATATTCTAACACAACCAAGATATTGGTGCCGATAAGCTCAAGCCCATGTTCATTGCAATGTCTGTCGTCACAGTAGTAACATTCGACTGCGCCTTCATTTTCGAGCGATGGCTGCGACACACCAACAAACTCCGCCCAAACACGTCCAACTGGCAAAAGCTATACTCCGTATGCGCCACCGTTGCCGCTGTCGCCGGTGCCGCCGGTCTCATCCTTCTCACCATTTTCGATTGCAAGCGACACAACACCCTGCACAACATTTTCCTTGTCGTCTTCATTGCAAGTTACATCATCAGTGCCATCTTCATCTGCTGGGAATACCAACGCCTGGGTGTTCATTACCGTGAGGAATCCATTCTGCGCATCTCCTTCTGGATCAAGCTATTCTTCATCATCTTCGAAGTTTGTCTCGTCATTGCATTCGGCGTCTGCTCAAAGACAGACAGGTGGAACGCTGCTGCTGTCCTGGAATGGATCATTGCATTTACGTACTGCTTCTACGTCGCCAGCTTCTTCATCGATTTCCTGCCTGCCAGGCGCACAAAGCATCACCAATCCAAGGAAACAGAGGTGCAGATGTTGGAGGAAGGTGGTCAGACGCATTCAACCACCGACAACGCTCGCATGGGTGCGCCCTACCCTACTCCTCTCTCCTCGAGGAACTTTTAGACAACCACGTCATCTCGTCTTCTCTTTTGTCTAAGACTCTGTTATTTTTGTGATTTCATGATTAGATGAGTAAATATACCACTAGCGTTGCTGTCCTTTTATTTCCTGTTTACTTGCATTTTGTTTTCAACAACATTGTATAATATCATCATGACGAGAATGAGACGAAGCATATTGTTCGGTTTTTCTTTTCTAATTCTCAGCATGGACATTCCTCCACACGCGTTAGGAACATGTAGGATTAAACACTAGAATACACAACAAGAAGCATACGTAGAATGAATTACAAACTTTCCACTAATCAATTACGAGTATTCAAAATGAAGATATTCTTTACATCAGACAAATAAATGCTTTAAAATCCAACCATGACTACATGCTCATGCATGTAGTGAAAGGGGGGGGTATCGTCTCATTACTCAGCTCTACAATATTCTACATGCAATCTATCAAAACCTCATGCTTTTCCACTGCACCAAGCAAATGCATATATATGCAATTCCACGCTCGCTTTCCCTTCTAGCATAAACCCACCTACACACACAAACACTTTTCCTTTTTCACTTGTAATACCCGTCATCCCTATACTTCTTCTTTCTCTCATACCTCTCCTCATCCTCATACTCTCTCTCCCTCCTTCTCTTCCTGCGCTCATCCGAGTCGCGACTACGACTGCGATCCCTTCGGTCGGATTTTGATTTGGAACCCCGGCTTCGACTGCGATATCGATCGCGGTCTCGACGCTTGTCTTTGCGGTCGTCCGGGCTGCGGCTGCGGTCTCTGCGCTTTTCTCTGCGCCGGTCGCTGTCGTGATGATGATCGTTGTCGTCACGGGTGCGGTCTCGCCGCTTGTCGCGGCGCCGGTCGCTGTCGTAGTAGTCGTCTTTCTCGCGTCGACGGTCCTTGTCTCGTCGCCGCTCGCTGTCATAGTCGTCTTCGCGTCGGCGGTCGCGGTCGCGGTCGCGATCGCGATCGTCTCGCTTGTCCCTCCGCTTCTCGCGCCTGCGCTCGTCTTCGCTATCGTCGTCATATTTGCTCTTTGGTTTTGAAGCTTTCTCCTCCTCCACCAACTTCTGGTTCTCAAGTTTTGCCTTGAGTTCCTCCTCCGTGATGATCTCGCCAGTATGCTTGTTCCGTAGCGTGACTGGATTGTAACTCTGGGCAACCTTTTTGCCTTTACCCTTGCCCTTGCCGCTGCCCCATTCCCCAAGCTCAATTCCCACTGCTGCATCCTCTTTTGCCCCAATGCCTAGTAAAGCTGGTCGCCGCTTGATCTCCTTCGGCTTCACAGAGGTGCCATTTTTTCCGATTCCTTCGCCATCTTTCCAGCCCATACCGCGAAGTAGCGCAGCACCGAATCCCTCGATTGGAGTAGCTTCGTAGGCTTCGAGCGTAGGGGCTTCGGGCGCGTTCTGCAAGTCGTGTTGAAATGCCTCCTCTTCGGTCTGTACAGGTATGACGAGATCGTTGTCGGTCGATTTGCCCGTTATCAGCGCTTCAAGCGCCTTCTTCTCCAGCCGCTCTTGTTCTGTAAGATTGTCTTGCTCTACCTCCATCGGCTCCGGCGCATCAGGCTCTGCAGAGCCGTCTTCTTGTGCATCGTCTTTCTTCATGACCGTCAGCCCGTACTGGTACTTGGGCTCCTCAATCTGCTTCTCGTCGACCGTTTCGTTCTGCGTTTGTTGATGCGGCGCCTTCGCAAGGTGCTTCCGCCGTGCTGCTGCGCGCCAATCGCGATTTGGTGGCACCGGGATGACACGAAGTTGCTCCTTTTCTTTCTTGCCATTGGCATCAACCGCGCCACCCTCTGCTGCATCCCATCCTGTAATTTCTTGCTGTTTAACCGCATCGTCCGGTTCATCATCGCCGAGAAGAGCCTTTGGTTTTTTGGTATCTTTTTGCGCTGGAGACGCTTTTAGTCCTGGCTTCGCCTTCAAGGCCCCCAGTGACATTTTGAAGCCGCCTGGCTTAGGCGCGGCCATGATGAAATGTGAGACTCCGGGACAGCGCTGGCGATCTGATTTACACGTTTCGTTGGTATGCAAGCAAGAGAAACAGTATTTGCGACTGTGTTTTACGTGAGGCGCAAAGCAGGAGCGGTGGTAGTGGCGGTGATAAGGTGGTAATAATGTCAGAGTTGAGATTATTTCTTCAGAAATGTTTAGGTCGCGCGCGATGATATCGGTCTTGGCGCTGGGCTTGCAGTATCAACCTATCGACGCTTAACTAACCGACGAAACTAGGGTCCTACGCAAACAACTGAAACTTTTACCGAACCAAGTTACCATGTCCTCATATCTCATTTCCTGGTCTTTCTTTATGATTACAATAATATATCACACACAAATGCACAAGGGCTACTCGAGGCTTGTAAGCGGTGGGAACAGCACACCCTTGTACATCCCACCCAACTCAACCAGTGGAGTTCCATAGTCCAAATCAGCGCCAGGCTTGCAGTACTCCAGTGTTCTGCGATCAGGCTGTACACCTAACTGGTCGAGCAAAGTATTTGTCTTGTTCGGCATGTAGGGCTGGAGCAAGATACCAGTGATGCGAAGCGCTTCAGAGGCAAGATAAATAATCTTATCCACTTCCTCGCCCGGCTCACCAGGACCGAAGTACAACACTTTATCCCAGGGCTTTGACATTTGGAAGAATGCATTCGACTTCTAGACGTCAGTAGTGATACAATGCAAGGGTGTTTGGTGTCTTACTCCTCGTACGAAATTGCATATCTGGTAGGCGGCTTGGCGTGGATCGTAAGCCTCGAAAGACGCCTCTACTTCTGAAGCGATAGTAGCAAGTGAGTTGTTGTAGAACCTGGCACCCGGGCCTTCTTCCCAAACTTCTTTTGGCCTTTGGCCCATACGCTCGATAGCACCCCGGACACTCCACTTCTTACCTCTTGTAACACGAGAAGCAAGGTTGCCGAGTTGCTGATTCAGAAATTTGGTATACATGGTGATGATGCGGTCGTTATCATAGCTAGCATCATCTCGTATACCACCCTCAGAAGCCATGTAGAAGCGCATGACATCCGGTCCGTATCTGTTGATAGCATGGAAGGGATCGACTACCCTGCCAGTCGACTTGGACATTTTTGATCCTCCAAGAGTCCAATGGGCGTGGGTTAGTATCTTCTTTGGAAGGGGAAGTCCAAGTGCCATGAGAAAAGCTGGCCAATAGATGCAGTGGAAGCGGACAATGTCTTTGCCAATGACGTGACAGTCAGCGGGCCAGCCTCCTGCTTTTTCGTGCCCTGGAGTCCACGGGTAACCTGCCTTTGTAGCGTAGTTCATGAGCGCATCAAGCCATACGTAAATAGTCTGTGAGTCGTCTCCAGGAACCCGAATTCCCCATGTAAGTCGATCAGATGGCCGGGAAATTGACAAGTCCTCCAGACCCGACTCGACTGCTTGCACAACCTCCTTCATACGATGTTCAGGCGTGATCCATTCGGGATTTTCTTTGAAGAAATCTAGCAAATGGTCCCGAAAGGCTGAAAGACGGAAGTGATAGTTCTCTTCAGAAGACCACTCCACTTCACTACCTGTTTCGATTGATGTCTGTGGTCTGGTTAGTTCGAACGACAACAAGCAATTGGCCCTGTTATACCATTATCTTCCGTCCCGACGGCGGGTCAAGGTATGGCTGCACAGCAGATTGTGGGTAGAAGCATTCGTCCGTGACTGAATACCAGCCCTCGTGTCTCTGCTCGTATATGAGGCCCTTCTCTTGTAACAAGTACTACGCGCTGTCAGCTAACTTTGTTCCCTGCAGTGCATATCTAGTTTCATACCCATGCATATTCTACAGCACTCCTGTGTTCACGGTCGGTTGTTCGTACGAAATGATCATTTGTGATTTCCGCTTTTTGTGCCAGTTCCTTGGAGGGGTGAGTATCGATGGTGGGGCTCGCTTTGCATGCATGCGTACCTTGAAGATTTCGGCGCCTTGGTCGCAAAACAGCTTTGGGTCGACGCCTGCCTTTGCTGCTGCTCTTTGTACCTGCGGGAGGATTAGTTGATGGTATCTATGTCTGTGAGGCGGAGCCACCTTTAGGCCGTGTTCATCCGTCCCCGTACACAAAATAGCGTTCTCTCCCTTAAGCACATGCCAACGCTTGATTACATCGGTAAGAACCATGGTATACAGGTGGCCAACATGAGGGGCAGCATTGACATAGAATATAGGTGTGGTGATGTAGTACGGTTTCTCAATGGATGTCTGGGTGGTGATAAACCGTCGATTGCGATTGCTATCACTTCGACATGACGACTGGATCCATGGTGAGCGCCTTTGGAAGCCGGAAAATACCCTCCGGCATGCCGGAATTGTCGTATTGGCTATTCGGACGTGCATGCTTTCATGGTTGTCTTACATGTATTATTCGCGACAATTCTCGCGTGCACTTTCGGCGCGAAGCCACGTGCGGCGCTAGCTCAATCAGTTGGATCAACTCCCAACTTTCGCCCGTCACCCCACCACTTCATATACACCAGTCATTGCGACAAGACGAGTCGTGCATATACTTGCGGGGGCATGCAGAAGCACTTGTTACATCTTTCTTTATCAAATCCTCTTGCGCTTAATACTAGCCGGCCGATTCTCCTCCAAAGCGAGTTCCGGCCTTCAAGGCGTAAACCACCTCAATGGAAGACTGCGATGACACGGATATATGTGACTATTATCGCAAAATATCCAATTCAGATCGGAATAATCGCCCACTGTCCTTTTTCAAGGGTTGCAGGACCTGTATCCGACTGTTGAGACATGCACTTAGCAATCCTAAAGGCAACCTGCATGTACGCATGTAGTAAGCATATTTATTACAACTTTAGCCTATACTATGAATCACAAGATGATACTCCTTGAACCAAGTTCGCTCCATTATCTACATTTACCCCCAGTATTACTATTGAACCAAGCTTCTTACGATACACCTCCTTGTATTTGAGCATCCGTGTTATCAGTATGGAGACCTGTCCTTTTCGAGCTGGAAACGTCAGGTTATACTTCATAATATTCGGTGACTGGTTTCCTTCGCAGAATTGGCTTTACACACCAAGCGTTGCGCTAATATATGCAGTAGTTACTCTCAGCATATGACAATCCTGTAAGCAAAATACCTTAATATCCGCAAGTGTCTGAATCTTGCGCCAAATTATAGCGCACCCCATAGACGGGGCCCCGCAGCCTGGCCGTACCTCCTGTCGGAAGGCTGACGTCGGGCGCTTGTGATTTGCGCCAAGCCCACGGTTTCTATTGAAGCTATTCAGACCCAGAAAAGGTAATCTCAACGGCATACGTCCACCACAACGGCTTCTTTGATAACTACAGTAATCCCTTTCATGAGTTGTGAAGGGACAGAAAGAGTTATACCTACTCCATACGTTGCTAGGTGGCAAGAGCGTTCTGGAATCAGTCTATCCGTCGCGATCAAAGCCTCTATGGTCTCAATGGTATCTTTTGGATAAATACTTTATTCCCATTGGTCCGCACTCATTTCTATCAAGAGATATCCCTTTGTCGCCTTTCCCTTCACCTGATCGGACGGTTTAGTATTGACTGAATAGCCATTGACCTCACTGTTTGTGAATCTATTGGTCACCATGGAGTCTATTGATGCTATTGAGAGCAATGAACTTTGCGACTCACCACATGCCTTTATCTTTTTCGAACTTAAATAATACTGATCCTCAGTAATGTTGCCCTCATCACCGAGTACAATCTCAACGATCATCGTAAACAATTCGGCCACGAACCAATCTGCGGCTCCAACTTTCAACGTCGGACGAATAAGAAACCCAATCCCGCATCATGAGATTCAACGCTGTCATCGCCTCCGCTATCCTTGCGGCTACCGTCTCCAGTGCAGCACTTCCAGTGCCTGCCGAGGCCGCTGAGAAGCGCGAAGCTGAGCCTCAACTCCCGACATGGCCGCGCCCTTATGGACTCCCTTATGGCATGGCTGCCGAGAAGCGCGAGGCTGAAGCTGAGCCACAGGTCCCAACCTGGGACCGTCCTTACGGTTTCCCACACGGTATGGCCGCTGAGAAACGCGAAGCCGAAGCCGAACCACAACTCCCAACTTGGCCACGCCCTTACGGTCTTCCTTACGGTATGGCCGCCGAGAAACGTCAGCCAGAAGCTCTTGAGGAGTAGGCATCTCGTCAACGTCAACAACCTCCAAAGGTCACGATGAAAGGCCACAAAAAATGTTGTTATTTCATATTCTTATCACACCAACTCCTATTCTCTTGGTTGCACTCGGCGGGCACCCCAATATTTCTCCAATTTCTATCTACCATATTTGGACACCTGTGTTGGAACATATAGCAATCCGTCGCATAGTGTATATTATTTGAAAGCTCTTCATTTTGATGCCATATATAGTGGCATGATTCAGCATTTGGCTGGTATCTACTACAGAGCAGGACTGGTATCCCTCTTGTTGTTGGCATCTCCGGTACGGGAGAATGCCCATACATGTTGGGAAGAGGGCTGGTCTCTTGTCACTTAAATTCTTATTGTATGTGTTCTTGGATATAGTCGTCGCTTAGTTAGTTTAACTCATGTCGAATCGTACCAAATTTTCTCCTTTTCCAAGTCTGAACAGTATGGGCAATTTTTCGTCATGTATTTCAACATAATAGTTAAATTTAATTGAACATTTGATCTTTTTGGTACTCTTGTTCCGATGCCGCACCACCTGACACCAATTGTCGTGACACACGCTCATATCCCATCAATCAAACAAACATTAACGCAATTACACCGTCACGACCCGTAACCATGGTCAATCACATCCCGACCCCATACCCGTATCTTTGCATGTCACGTTACATACAGCGATTCTGACAGCTGTCAGTACCACCGTCTGCTGCAACCTCTGAGGGTGCTTTGCACCAGCAACAGAGCACTCTTTGTTCATGCAGGTATCCACTGTCATTCACATGTTCGCTATAGATGAGCCGAGATACCTGCCAGGATAAACAGCGTATGAGTCTGATATTAAAGTGATATACCGGCAGGGCCCGGACTAAGGGAGGGACAGACACGGAAAATTGGTGACAAAGGTGATGTGTGCGATCAAACTTTCAGTGGGGCAAGGATACGGATAAATGAATCAGGCTGTGTGTAATGCATATCAAACCCACAAAGTTCATGCTGAACCTGCCATGACATCGTTTGAAACCCTTACTGAACGACATTAATGTTCCAACAAGTCGGAAGTTGACGTTTTTTGTTCCCCTTATCTTGAATCGTATTTATTTACTCACATTTTGTTATTTTTTTTCGCAACAATCAAACCATTGCCTTGTCCAGCGTACAACACCCTCGAAACCCAAATACCCTCACAATCGCAACCCACCTTCCCCTCTTGCATACATTCACGCATGAATCTCCAATAAGGTCATACTTACGCCTCATCACATCTCTCCCTCGCATCCGCGTCCGCGTCCGCATCCGCATCACACATAACAAAACTCAGACCCCCAAATCTCATCCTTTACCCAATTTGTCAAACACAAAAAACCCCCGCTTATCCTTTCCCCCCCCC